GTACTTAAACAGTTTTGACATAACCCACGATGAGACCTCATCATCATTAACATATCGCAGGTTTGCTGCTGGATTTAGGGTAGCACTTCCAAAATCTTGTTTTGGTAAAACCATTCCCAAAGATATTTGTTCTGCATCAGATTTACTTGGTACCACCTCCTGTTGAAGATCAACTACCACTGGAACTTGCACATCAACCTGGTTGGATTCTACTGGAGCTAAAGCTTTCTTGAAGCACACGTCGGATTGCTAAGTTCCCCCCTTTTTGAACTCAGGTCAACCTCTGACATTATCTTTGGATCAGATACTATCAGTGGCAACAAGCAGTCCTCGGGCTCATTTCCACCTCACTAACTTTAGATATGCTTCTGGGGCATTCCCCTTTTAGAACGTCAATTTCTCCTTGGTTCGACTATGATGATAAGGATGAAGAAGACATCTTCTTTGGTTAAAACCTCTTTATCTTTTCCCGGTCCACCTTCTTTCCTTTTTTGCCCCTCAATCCTTGGGTTTTTAAATCTCAATGGGCCAACTTGAGTTCTATCGTGGACCCAACTGACATCACTCCAACTTGGAACAAACATTCCTGGGGGAGATAAAGTCTCTTAACTCCCCCAAATATTAAAAGATTACAAATAAGCCTAGAACATATGATTTCTTCCCACCCTTGCTGGTTAATGCATCTACAACAGAATCGGCACACCTCTTTACCCACTATAGCCTCATTGTCATATCCCAAATCAACCATTTAAACACTCTCTTTTCATTCAGGTAGCTCCACATGCTACTCTCCCCCTTTTTGTAGCCTTTCTATTATTAACTTTGAGTCATCCTCAATAATAAACCTCCTTAAATTAAGCTCCTTAGCCTTTTTGGCACCTTCCAAGACTGCCAAAACTTCAGCTCAGAGAGAATCAACATAGCAATAGTTGCACCCACCTCATTCCTAAAGACCCCTCCAATAGGGGTGGCAATTTTGACCCCAAACCATCTGACCCACCCACTTTGGTAAAGGGTCATTATGGGTCGAATGACCCATTTGGGTCAAGGAAAAAGGGTCAGGGTGGGGTTGGGTTGAGGGTACCCATGGATCGAAGTTAACACTAGTCATCTACCTAATTAGCTTTTAGGGTTTGATGCAAGTGTTAAAAAAAGAAGCTGGAAAAATCTGAGGAACTTTCGGTGGCTGCAGCGACGGGTACCACCACTCTTGCTGCCGTCGATATCACTAATCTTGCCGTTGCTGGTATGTCCATCCTGATTTTGTTCTTCTTCCTCTTCTCATCGCTGCCATCAGTATCAGATATCAGTTTCAAATCTATTATTCTACCCTTCCTCCTCCTCCCCTCTTCTTCTTATTATTCTTATCACCGCCGCCGGCCAATACTACCGATCTGGATTTCAGATCTAATTCCTCCTCTTCCCCTCTTCTTCTTATTATTCTTATCGCCGCCACCAGCCAATACCACCGATCTAGATTTCAGATCTACTTCCTCCTCCTCCCCTCTTCTTCTTACTCTTTTTATCTCTGCCGCTGGTACCACCGATTAGGTCTTCTAACTCTTCCTTTTCCCCTCTTCTTATTCTGGCATTGGGCCAGATCTAAGATGGCATGACCGCCGATTACAGGAACCTGAGTAGAGGTGATTTTTGTTTTTGCAATTTTTACATTTTTTGTTATATATATTAAAATTGCACCATTTTCTATATTTTTTGGTATTAGTTGAAGTATATGATCAGTTTGATTTTTTATATTTTAATTATTTTTCTGTAATTTATTTTTTTTGTTGAAATATATAAATTTTGAAAATTTTATGATTTTAGGTATTTTACGCAATTCTTGTTTTTTTATCTTTTTTTTTGTTTTTTATAATTTCTTAGTTGAAATATATATTTATTTTTAATTTTTATCAACTTATGTATTTTATGCAATTTCTATTTTTTTGAAATATATATTTTAAAATTTCCTTGTTTTTTGCAATTTTTATTTTTTTTTGCAAATTTATGTTAAATTTTGTGTTTTTATTATTTCTTTGTATTTTTTGTAATTTTTTAATATTTATAATTTATTTGGTATAATATTTATATTTTCTTAATATTTGCATTAGGTTAATGAGTCATATGGGTAGGTCAGGGTAAAGGTGGGTTGTGAGTTGTGACCCACTAATACCCAATAAATATGGGTGGCAATGGGTCAATGGGTCAATATGGGTGGGTTGATATTCAACCCACACCCAACCCACCCATTTGTCATCCCTACCCTCCAATGCTTGAAGGGCCAGGGTTTCCTTCACGACTACCATCAAAATTCAGCTTTATAAAACTGGGAGCTGGTAAAGTCCACATTGGGTGAGGAACAATCTTGTTAGGAGCCGAACAGGCCACTTCCTTCC